CCCACCACACTACAGGTCTTCTATATACACCACCCACCAGACTACAGGTCTTCTATATACATCACCCACCAGACTACAGGTCTTCTATATACATCACCCACCAGACTACAGGTCTTCTATATACATCACCCACCAGACTACAGGTCTTCTATATACATCACCCACCAGACTACAGGTCTTCTATATACATCACCCACCAGACTACAGGTCTTCTATATACATCACCCACCAGACTACAGGTCTTCTATATACATCACCCACCACACTACAGGTCTTCTATATACACCACCCACCAGATTACAGGTCTGCATTATACACCACCCACCAGACTACAGATCTTCTATATACATAACCCACCAGACTACAAGTCTTCTATATACATGATGGTGAAGGTGGAGGTAGGGTAACAGTGATGGTGAAGGTGGAGGTAGGGTAACAGTGATGGTGAAGGTGGAGGTAGGGTAACAGTGACAGTGATGGTGAAGGTGGGGTGACAGTGATGGTAAAGGTGGGGTGACAGTGATGGTGAAGGTGGAGGTAGGGTGACAGTGATGGTGAAGGTAGGGTGACAGTGATGGTGAAGGTAGGGTGACAGTGATGGTGAAGGTAGAGGTAGGGTGACAGTGATGGTGAAGGTAGAGGTAGGGTGACAGTGATGGTGAAGGTGGAGGTAGGGTGATAGTGATAGTATTGAGCAGATAAAATTAGTAAGGGATGAGAAGGGTGACAAGAATAATAGAGGTAAGGTGACAGTAGCGGTGGTATTAAGGAAGGCAGCGATGGTGGAGGTTGGGTGAAAGAAGTGGTAGTAGTACTAAGGAAGGCAGCGATGGTGGAGGTTGGGTGACAGAAGTGGTAGTAGTACTAAGGAATGCAGCGATAGTGGAGGTTGGGTGACAGAAGTGGTAGTAGTACTAAGGAAGGCAGCGATGGTGGAGGTTGGGTGACAGAAGTGGTAGTAGTACTAAGGAAGGCAGCGATGGTGGAGGTTGGGTGACAGAAGTGGTAGTAGTACTAAGGAAGGCAGCGATGGTGGAGGTTGGGTGACAGCAGTGGTAGTAGTACTAAGGAATGCAGCGATAGTGGAGGTTGGGTGACAGAAGTGGTAGTAGTACTAAGGAAGGCAGCGATGGTGGAGGTTGGGTGACAGAAGTGGTAGTAGTACTAAGGAAGGCAGCGATGGTGGAGGTTGGGTGACAGCAGTGGTAGTAGTACTAAGAAAGGCAGCGATAGTGGAGGTTGGGTGACAGAAGTGGTAGTAGTACTAAGGAATGCAGCGATAGTGGAGGTTGGGTGACAGCAGTGGTAGTAGTACTAGCTGGTTCTAGGGGTGACGTAAGGCACGAGCAAGCCGCTGAGCTATTTAGGCCACCAGAGAAAAAGGCAGAATATGATACATGAGGACTGACCATTATATCCCATTATAAACAGAGCGCCATTAGAAGGCTACGCGGTGATTCCTCTCATGGTTTCGGCTGTCTGTCACCATTACAGCATTGCTCCTAATAGAGGGGTCAGTGCCGATTAGCAGACAACAAAGAGCCAAAGGAAATTGTGACGGGAAGCAAAGAAGAAAATGACATGAAAGGCACAAAGTGACCAATAATCACAGCTGCCCATCGTTTCTTTTGATCCCGTCCCTTCTCTGTGCCCCGGACCATTCACTGCAAAAGTACTAATGGAATCCTAATAACAGTCTGCAGCTCCCACTGAGGAGAAAGACAGAGACACCACAGGGGCCACACACGCCGCTAAAAGACCGACAGAGAGAGCGAATTGAGTGCCGGGCACAGTGGCCAAAGAACAATGTGAGCACCAGGAGGGCTTTGGGGTACAGACTGCAATACAAAGACTGATACAGAGAGATTATGAGAGAGAGAGAGAGAGAGAGGGGGGAGAGAGAGGG